ATATTTAACTACTCTGATATATAATAGGTCTATGATGCTAAACATGACTACTCTGGTATATATCAAATACAAATCTCTGAAAAAATCAAAACGACACAATTCTGTATATGCAACAGGTCTATGATGCTAAACATGACTACTCTCGTATATATAACTACAAATCTCTGGAAAAAAAAAAAAAAACGATATAAAATGCATCAACACAAACACAATTGACCAATAAAAACCCCAAACTGTACAAAAACACACGAAAATGCAAAATCACAATTGTAAAATCAACAAACACCCAGCCGCGCATCATGATCATAAACAAAAATGAGCCATGAAATCTCCGTAAAAAAATAAAAAAACGAACCTTAAGTAAGCAATTGAGATAGAGAAAGTTGAACCTCGATCGACGCAAATCACGCTAAAACACCAAAATCGGAAACCCTACCCAATCGTATAAGGAAGCGATTGAGATGGAGAAAGCGAGAGAGAGAAAGCGCCGTGAGAAAGAGGGCCGAGAGGGAGGGAGAGAAAGAAGATGCTTCCTTCTATACCGTTAGGAAATTTCCTTGCCCAATAAAACAAAATATAAGGGTAAAATAGTCATATCCTCTGTCCTCAGGGGGTCTACCTAATTAAGTTCAGAATTTGGGTTTTTGCCTTAGAAAGAAAAAAACATTGGGCCTCCTCATATATATTTTCAAAAGTAGGGGGTTATCCCACATTTTCCCATATTTTTATATAATTTTAAAGATAAATAGGTAAATGCACAAGATCACTGACAGAGTTAGTTTTTTCAAATGTTGACCATGTATAACAGGGGCTATTCTAGTACGTTATGTAGTTTAAGGGGGTGTTTGAAACAAATTCTATGTTCAAGGTGCAAATTGTACTTTCCCCTAAAAAAATTTAAAGTGAATAAATATATGGTTCCACCTCTTTAGTTTTATTTACAATTTTTTTTAGTCGGGTTAATATGATAACATCTCATCATTCAGATATATAGTTATCAAACATATTTAATTGTTCGATATTCATTCAGTGAATGTTTTTATTCTTTTAGATATTTATTCAACTCTCAATTCTATCAAACACTGCCTTAGTTTATCCTACATTGTGGAGCGACTCTCTAGACTACTCCGCCAACAGTTCGAGTATACTTTGGAAACTAAGTAGAATGAAAATGTTTGTAGGAATCTCTAAAAAATCGCACAAGTTTCTACAAAAACAATACTATAAACCTAGTATGCCAAGCAATGTATGATAAGACTATCGAAAATGGTGAATACATGACGACTTTTAGTATATGTAGGACATTTTTTTTTGAATTTTTATCTGTATTTTAGAACATAATTTAGTAGCTATAGACATTTTAATATAAAAATAAATTATCGTCCAATATTTATCATTAATTGTTTACATAACTACATTTTATTCTCTACAATTTCCAATCTCTAACACATCTGAAGAAACTATTTAAATTTGTTTAAACTGCAAAATATTTTGTCTGATGGAAAATATTCACTATAATCAACTTCTTTAAACGTCTCGAGATGATCCTGGTCCAAATTAGTAACAAAATTAATATATATTATAAAATCTGGCAAATAAAAAAAGGGGGAACTTTAGCACATAAAACATGAAACTTTTTTCGCACTGAAATGAATTTTTTACCTCACTTTCAGCCGTAGCATTCTCCAAAACCAATAAATTCATGTTCTTGGAAATTATTGATAAATTAATTGTGTGATATTCTTCCAAACCAATGTCGATGGATTCTTATAAAAAAAAGTTTGGAAGAATAAGATGAGATATATTAGGTTTTGAATTTTTAAATAAAGTGTCTACGTTTTTTACTGAAGTTCTTCATGTGATTTTCTGCCAAAATAATGTCGTTAAAAACTTCTAAAAGAAAGGAATTTGACAAAGTACGATGGGATATAATATTAGCTTTTAATTTTTTAAAATAAAATATCTCATATTTACTAAACCACGTCCTGCATTTATCACCACCCTAAGATTATCCAACCGATATATAAAACATTAAATGGTGGGGTAAAGCAGTTAGATAAAGTTAATAAATCTAATTAAGAACGTACTTAATGCAACTCTAATGGAGTTATCAAACATGGTATTCAAACTTTTTAACTCCAACGGGGTTATCAAATGAGGGTGCTATTTTGATAGTTCACATCTTGGGATGTAAATATACTTGACGAAAATTGAGTTATAAAAAATGTAACTATCTAAACATCCAATCACAAGTTGACATGCGGTAATTACAAATAAAATTACTCATAAACTTCCAATTGATAATTAATTTGATAACTATGATTAGAGTAGATGAATTTTAATCAATATGAAAATATTATCTTAAATATCAAATAAATATTTGATAATTCAATTTTAATATTTAGCATTGGAATTGCGTTCTTACTTAGGAACTGGTCATCAGTAAGGCCTATAGCCTACGCTAGCGAACCACATTGCACTTTGAGGTGGTTGAGCACGAGCCTAATGTGAATTTGTTCATATTTGAAAAAATAAAGTCTAAATTATGAAAATGAAAATAATGTTAGAATTGATTAATTTGTTGTTAGACTCGTAAATATTTCCTCTCATTTTTCTCTCATTGCATTACCTACTCGATTTACAATTAATTTTAAATAAAAATATCTTAATTTACCACCTTATATTCCAATATTACCCTTTCTTAAATTAATAATCACTAATCACAAAACATGCAATTCAATTAGAACTCTAAATCCACCACCCATATAAATTCAATCATGTCGACAATAAACAAAAAAAAAAAAAAAAAAGGAAAATAATAAAATAAAGTTCATACAGGCTAAATCCACTATACTATAGCCCAGTTGAACTTCACCATTTTCTATCCCACATCGAAAAAATAATTGCTTTTCTTACAGTTCATATACTTCAGCATCCTACGTCTAGTTTGTCCCTTCGGGGACATCCGATAAAATTGGAACGATACAGAGAAGATTAGCATGGCCCCTGCGCAAGGATGACACGCATAAATCGAGAAATGGTCCAAATTTTTTTTACCTTTCTCGGTCTTTTGGCTAAGATCAAGTGTAGTATCTGTTCTTATCAGTTTAATATCTGATATGTGGGCCAATGGCTCACACGATATTAAATTCATTTTTGTAGGGGGGGGCCCACATGGGCAGCTTGCTGCTTTGGGCCTTCATGCGTCGCCTGTGCGTTGCACTACTGTATGGGCCTGGCGCACCCCACCAATTCTAGTATGAAGTTTGAATTAATTGTAAAATATCATTGAAGATCATAGTAAATAGTAAACAAAAAATGGTAAAAATACAGTTTTTGTTCCTTCAAGTTTGCACCAATTTCATATTGTGTCCCCTATGTTCACAAAAAATACATTTAATCCCTCATGTTTCAAAAATTCAATATTTTTAGTCATTTTTATATTCAACACTTTTAGTCATTTTTATTAGTACTAACGGATTCAAGCGTATGCCCGTCAATGCTTTAACTGAGGGAGTAATGGTAAATTGGCAAAAATTATCAAAACTGTTAGATTATTGAAACATGAGGGACCAAATGTGTTTTTTGTAAACATGGGGGACCAAATATGAAATCGGTGTAAACTTGAGGGATCAAAAATATAATCTTCCCATTTAGCATTAGTTCTTCAGTTAAGAAAGTGACGGACATATGCTTGATTCCGTTAGTACGAATGGAAAATTGACGAAAATGACGAAACGTGTTGAATTTTTGAAACATAAGGGATCAAATGTGTTTTTCGTGAATACGGGAGGCCAAATATGAAAATGGTTCAAACTTGAGGGAACAAAAAATGTATTTTTCCCGGTTTCTAATCTATTTTAAGGGTAACTTAGTAATTAGCAGTATAGTGTTGTAAAAAGTACTTTTGGGTCTTGTATATAGAAGTTTCAGTAACAAATAAAAGGGTGGAAAATACAGTTTTCATCCCTCAAGTTTGCACTAATTCCACATTTAGTCCCCACTCTCCAACATTCACGAAAAATACCTTCGGTCCTTGAAAAATTCAACATTTTTAGTCTTTTCCGTCAAATTTCTGTTAAAAACTAACGAAATCAAGCATGTGCCCCCACTATCTTAACCAATGACGTAAAAAGCGGTAATCGGGTCCGACTCGGTCAGGCACCGACTCACGATTAATCGGTGCGGCGGTGATTAATCGGTGATAAATCGGAAATAAATCGGTTTTTAAAATTTAATATAATATATTTCTAAATATTATTTATAAGTACCCAAACATAAATAAAAAGATATTTAAACATAGTTACATCTCCATCATGTATATATATATATATCCTAATAACATAATAAAAGTTTAATAATCATAAGATCATAATACTTAAATATCCTTATAAAATATAAATAAAAGAAACAATTTTTTTGAATTTACATTTATTCTTGAACATTCCTGGCAACAATAACAGTTAACATAAACAAAATAAGGCATAAACTCATATATTTTTTTTATTTTGAAAAAAAAAAACGGTTTTTTACCGATTTTTGCCACCGAGTTTGACCCGCCTTAAAGGTTTGACCGCCTCAGACCGCCTCGGACCGCCTAAAACCGCCTCACAGGCAAAAAACCGATTTTTCAAACCTTTACACTAAAATCGTAAAGGTTTTGGACCGCCTCCGCCTCGGAGACCGATTAATCGGCCGCCTCGGCCGATTTTTAGAACACTGATCTTAACTGACGTACTAACGGTAAATTAACGGAGAAGACCACAAATGTTAAATTATCAAAACATGAGAGACCAAATATATTTTTTGTGACATGAGGGATCAAATGTCAAATAGATGCAAACTTGAGGGGTGAAACTGTACTTTTCCTAAAAACATTGATAAAGCGGTGTTAATTTCAAAAGTCCTTTCTAATACGAGTCAACTAATTTAAATCAGTTACTTCAAGTGATTTACATTTGAGTCGAAGTGAGATGGAAGCGCTTGAACCAAAATTTATGTCTGAGAAGTTGAACTTTTAATTAACAAAATTACGAGGTACAAATATTTGTATTACAAAAAAAAAACGCGCGTAGAAATCGAAACCAGAAAATATGTTGTTTCTACGGCAAATAATACCGAATTTCAGAGACTTGCTCTCAAATTTCCCCTATAAGATATATCACTTGGTTCTTGTGTACTTTGAAACTTATAAAACAAATATTATGTGAAAAAAAATATCTCTGTTTTTCTTCTGTATATATCTGAACATCAAGCGGGGATTCGATAGGAGGGATCAATCATTTTCAAAATGAAGAGATTGCCTTTATCGCCTCTCGATACTCTGCCACCAAAAAAACACGTTTTTTAGTTATATTAACAAAAAAAAAAAAATGTTACTTTTAATTGGATCGTACGAACACAAAAGACTTAGAGATGGTTTACCTTAACTCTTCATCCAGGTAGGTAATTTCCAGTTCACCTCGAGCTGTGTCGGGAGCTTTTACAGGTATCTGCTCACACAATAAATTATACGATAAATATAAATCGACATAGCAACTAGTGATCGCCCTTTTCGTAAACTTTTACACGAATTGTCTCTAGTTTAGCAATTAATATTTAACGCAAAAACATGTTATTACACATATTCATGTGTGTTCCTTTTCAGACATATAATATATATGTGGCACAGACAAAGGGATGGTCATGACTTACCACACCGCCAAGCTTGAAATAGTCGAATTTTACAGCCACCTTTTTCGTGTTTAGAGGCGTTAAATCTGCAGTGACCTGCAAAAATGCGAACGAGCAAACGTATGTGGTTTAGCATTTTCAGACAAGAGGGATTAAAATAAATGATTATAAATTATTTCCTCGACAATGCACATAGTTTTTTCTTGAAAGCTTGTGGGGAAACACGAGATTTAAAAAAAAAAGATCGTTAAACCATCTAAAGAAGTACATAAAACTCTCATTTGGTAATATAAGTCGCGATTAATTAAATAATTAGGTCATATTTCATGTTTGATTAGTGCAATAACTTTTCGTGCGAGGCCTGATTACACAATTGGATTCTCATAAGACTTGAATAATCTTTATCTTGAAACTAAACAATGGCTTAATCTATTTATACGTCCACGTAACTCGGGTTTTCAAATTTAAACCAATTTCTTAATACTTTATGAACAAATGTTGATGTGATTCAAAATGTCACCCGATGATCTAAATATATATATACTCACACAATAAACAAAAGATAAAAACCGGAACTACTGAAATTAGTTTTGAACTAACCTGATTGAAGAACGGACCCGATTCCATATTTTGAGCTCGAAGGGTATCAGCATTAATTGCTTGATAGTTTGTTCTTGATCTTAAGAACTTGGGCCTCTGTTCACAATATTAACTTAATCGTAAATATTCATTAAATATATAACATCAAAAATACCAAGAAAATTAACTGCATTATATTAAAATCAATTTATTTCAAATATCTAAGAGACTCTAAATTATTTAATTTTTATTTTAATTCAACAAGAAAATTTATCACTAGAATTGGTAGTGCAACGCATGGGCGACGCATGAAGGCCCGAAGCAGCAAGCTGCCTAAGTGGGCCCTCCCCCTGAAAAAATGAATTTAATATCGTGTGGGCCAATGGCCCACATATCAGATATTAAACTGATAAGAACAGATACTACACTTGATCTTAGCCAAAAGGCCGAGAAAGGTATGAGCTTTCCATATGTTGAGCCTTCTCTTTTTATAACACATCTTCTTTGGATATTTTTTCTTTTATAACCGATGTGGGATAACAAAATCAGTTTATTTTAGTTGATTCAAGCTTCAATTCCTATTTCATACTAAAAAAACTAGATGTACAGTTAAATATCTATAAACTAATACAATCGGAACTAACAAAATTGTATTAATTTAGCAAAATATTAAATTATTAAACTAATAATTTAGTGGATTTATACCGTGTCGGGACTAGAAAAAAAACTATTATTTAAGCGAGGTTATTAATTTATCGAAGTTCTGTTGTACAAAGACTTGTCAAGAAGTGGTACCTTGATCTGCAAAATCGATTGTGAAGTTGTGTAGATGAGCTCCCACTTCCCACTCAGCAAACTAGACTTCAACGGCTCTTTCGTCGGATTAATCGCTTCTAGCTTTCGAGCTATCTAAGGATTATAAAGTTATAAAAATTAAAAAAAGAGAGAAATTGATTTACTTGATTATAAAGCTCACTACGAAATCACTATTTGCAGATAACATATATATGCATATCACACGTATATTTGCAATTTAGTTCTTGTAGCCACTTCTTGCCACATATTGTTGAAAGAATTCAAAAATCGAACACATAACATCATTTCATTTTTCATTTTTCGAATCTGATACCTTGTTGAATGATCACTTCATCTACCAGCTTCACCTCTCTTAGTGACATAAATAATTTGATATTCATGACACCAATTTTGCAATTTTTTGATTTATTTAAATATAACTTAATTTCATGTCATATATTTATGAAAATTAATAGATATGATCTCAAATTATTATCCGCTTTAGGCACAATATAGCTAGAGACGGCCCGGCCCGGCCCAGCCCGAACACACATCTAGAAAACAATAATTTTATTTCTGATTAATGACAAAAGATTATTGACAAAAAACTCATATAAAAAAAAATTAAATCAAATAGATAATGATAATAATTAAATGATAATGGTTAACCTGATCAATTGTTTGCTGGTCTTCAGGGGTGGCCTCGGCGCCACGATCAAGGGGGGCAATGGCTTCGAGGAGCTCTTCTTTAATGGCGTCTGCGCTCTTGCTCTTGTTTTTGTTCAGAAAATCAGTGAAGAATGAGACGCGCGTTCGCCATTTCTCCACATTATTAATTGCAGGCGCGTGATAATTGGTGTTGGTAATTGATAGAGTACAGTTGCTACGGGAGTCCGCCCGTGAAGGGGCGGCGGCGGCGGCGGTGGGGTTGTGGAGCTTGGGGAGTAAGGAGGAGGCGGCGGCGGATTGAGTGGTGAAAGACGGTAGTGATGGCGGAGAGAGTGTGGATAAGGCCATGGGAGCGGTGGTTTGTGGTGGTTCTCAATTCTTATGACAGGATAGATTTTATTCAATTTTGGTACCGCCGTTAGAAGTTTGACAAATTGCATTTCGCCCCTAAAAAATTTCAAAATTTCGCACTTTCCGCCCTAGGAAAAAAAGAAAAAGAAAGACATCCCCTTGCAAAATATATGTATGTTAGACTTTGCTCCAAAGTCAAACTTTCGGTATATCTTTTACCAGAATTGACAAAACTCCGTCCACTCAAAGGAGATTGCCGTCATTTTTGGGTATATATGTAATTTGTCATGCCCAACCGAAACCCATTCATATAACCTGGGAATTACACATTTGGACTAAAAAATAGGGTTCTTCTCGCCCAAAATTTCAAATTGTTTGAATTGAAACTATACATTACTTGTGTCCTATTTTTGTGTTCCTTCTGTCATGATTTTTGAACCCCTGTGACAGGATGACCGGGATAGCTTTCTAATCGAAGAAACAATGAAAGATTTTTTAACAATTTTCGAACTCAATTAATCCATAATTTTGTGTTCTGAAGTTGTTTGGTGAAATGAAAGTGGAGTGTTTGACGATTGTTGTGCAAAAGAGAATGACGGCAACACCCTTTGAGTAGACAAAGTTTTATCAATTCCGATTAAAAATAAGTAGGAAGTTTGACTTTGGGCAAAGTGTAATATAAACATATTTTGCAATGGGTTGTCTCTTTTATGAATTTTTAGAGGAGAAAGTGCGATTTTTTTAAATTTGTAGGGGGCGAAATGCAATTCGCCCAATGCATTATTAAAGTTGTTGCAATTTGATACTAAGATCCGGTTCGGTTACATGTATTTGATTAACTCGGGTCCATTTTGATAGTATTAATAATTTAATTTTATAGTGGCTAACTAATTAGTTAATTATTAAGGTATGAAATGTAATATTACAAATTATTGCTACATGATTTCATTTTACCAATTGTAGTAAAAGACCAACCTCTCTCATAATTTGGTGATAGGAATTTGGTAAAACTTTATTTTGTTTTAGAATATATAACTTTCAAGTCGTCTGATGAGATATTCTTTTCCTTTCATTTTGTATAGGATAATCTATAAGCTGTATAGACCCGTACA